GGACCGGTTTCTTGTACTTCCACTTCATAAGAAAACCATAAACTCATTTAAATTCATTTCCCCCTTTCACGAAATGATCGAATGGAGGAGCAAATTTAATTACGAAGGAGGTAAATTAGAGGGTGTTAACAGGAGTTTTTCGTTATACCCGGGCTCCGCATTTCCATGAAGTGCCTCCGGAAGAGTGGTTGGTGGGGAGGATGGGGAGGGCGGGTGGGTATGGGGGTGACGATAAATTTGAATTACGAAAGCTCTAAGTGGGTGCACCGATGTTGGGGCCAACCCAACTCTTGAACACATGCATGAACGCTTGGCTGCCAGATTTTTGGCGAGCCTGGTTTTAATCTTCATTTAGGTGAAATGAAATGGATCGTTACGTGGTGGATCGAGTCAATTTGAGAGGTCGGACGGGAAATTTTTGACTAAAACTGCAAATTTTGATGTTAATTTCGTCACATTTTTTTCAAGGGGTGCTTATAAATAAAAATTTCACGAGGAAACCAATGGAGCCCCTATCAGAACCTCGAAGTTTTACATAAATGGAGTTATAAGCTTTTAAAGTTTCCAAATTTTGTCCGACCTCTCCTATTGACTCGTTCCACAATGCGTCACGCTGATTTTGGAATCAAAGCTATTTTTGCAGTGATTAAAGGCGTTTCTGCGTAAATCTATTACCATGTTTCAAAATTGCCACGGACACTCTATTAGCAACAAGGTGAAAAAAAAATCTCGTGAATTTTTAAAAGACAATTCTGTCTCAAAAACGGTGAATAGGCATATAATAGAAAATGTTTTTCGGGCATTTTTTAAGGAGAATTTCGGGAAAAAAGTTTTAATGAACTCTTTTTTTATCTACTGTAGATTTTAACGCTTAATATTTGGTAGACGTTAAAACACTCTTGAAATATTGTGTAAAATATGTAAATCGGACGTCTCATTCTAGATCACTTTAAAAACAGCGCAGAAATACTTTAAAGTTTCAAAATTAATTTAGACATCGAAGATAAAACGCCAAAACCACGTACCTTGTTCGCGGTCATTTAAATTATCCACTCCCATTTATTTATTTTTAAAGAGAACAAATTAACATCATTCTTTAGACTTTTCACAAACATTTCCTCGCGCGTAAAAGAGAAAACATGGAATTTTTTAAGAATTGCATTTGGGTAGTTTTCACAGTTAATATGTAGACACTTCAGTTTGAACTTGAAGACACGTTCCATTTTTCAATTTGGTCTAGTTAAGTAAAGCATGATAAGATGAAGAAATATTTTCGAAGATCATTTTGGGAGTAAAGTGACAACAATGTTGGGAGTAACATGGTAAAAATGATGTTCAACAATCCTTGCACAAATGTACCATCTCTTGACCTTCCGTTGACTTGTTTTACACCACTCGCAATTAATCCGTTATTAAATGAAAAGGGTACATTAAGACCATGCACCGTACGTAAACACCCCTCCCAAATTTCCTTGATATTGAGGGGAAGAAGAGAAAATAAAACAAAATACAGTTTAAACGGATGTACACATCTGGAAAAACCTCCAAAACGTCAGCAATAACATGCCAAAAAAGCTGATGTCACACGATCAAATCGGGTCATCAAATCTTCCAAGACAGGTGTTGTGATTGGCCTAGTCAATGACTCGGACCAATCGCAGCACTTGACCTTGATATATTGGTGGCCCGGTTTGATCGAGCTTCATTAGCTAATGCTGCCGTGCTAAGGAAGAATGCCGTTTGAGCCTTCAGACGTTGCCAAATTTCTTTCGATAAAAACCGAAATTTCTGGGGGAAATTATGAACATCGCTTTCCAGAATTTTCAGACGAGTGTGTACTCAATTTAATCTAAAATTCCTGAAAATTTTAAGAGAAAATATGGATAAATTTTTTTAAAAGTCCATATTTTATCAAGGGAAATTTGGCAACTCTCGAATGTTCATACGGCGTTTTTCCCCAGCATGGCAGAATAAGGAAGTAAAAAGTTTCCAGTAAATTTTACTACTACAGGAGTATGGCTTTCCTCCACTTCATTCAGGCCTAGATACACACGGCATTTTAATCGCCGCGATTGAAAGACGAAAGCCAATGGAGAGCCTAGATTTCGATCCATTGACGTCGATATGTCGAAATCAAGGCTCTCCAAGGCATTCAAAATCAAGGCTTTCGTCTTTCAATCGCGGCGATTAATCGCCGTGTGTCAGTGTATCTAGGCCTTTAAAGAGAAATAAATACAAAATAACCAAAAAAAACTTGGTTTTAAAGCCGATTCGTCCGTGCTAAGGACGGCAACGACAGTGGCGCCGCCAAGCGGTCTGCGGGCGCGGCTCGCTCGTTGATATTCTTTCCAGCCTGGTTGGGCCGAGTCAAAAACAAGCCCATAAAACTGTCCGCGGACCCCATAAAACGCACGCCTCGCGACCCGCGCACCCCCATCTCCACACTCCGCGCGACACCACTTAAACAACCTCATTAGCAATATGTGCACGCTGCCCTGTAGCCCACCCCCGCCCCGNGAACGGCGCGAAATAATTGACTCCGAGGACGGAATCCCGAGGTCCGAATTAGCCAATCAGGAGTCTCCGTCGTGGGATACGCTCGGATTTGATCGAAAGTGGGTCAAATTCTTCATCGGGGAAGCAGCCGCTACAAACTGCCTTGGGATCTTTAAGAAGGATCCAGTGCTTGAGCTTGTTGAATGGTATTTTTAGAGGTCAAAATATTTGTTGCTCATGAGAAAGGTTAAAAACAAATTTATTAAGATACCACTATTTCATCTCCGGAGAACGCATTTTGCCTACTCATTCGGGTGAAGGCGATTATGTTTGAGATGGCTCGGACGGAGTAACTTGATTTAGAATTATCATGCAGTTTTTCGATTTCTTCTGTGAGATTTTAACCCATAATAAGTGCTCAACATTGCATGTGCTGCTTTCTTCCTTCACTGGTACAAAAAACACATTGGATCTAGAGTCCAGACTCTTATTCAATCGGATTTTTGCTTGATTCAAGAATCAAGCCTCTTAATTTGAGCGGATTTCCTTTTGATTTAAGCAAAAATCTGATTGAATCAAGAGTATTTTTTCTTGTCAATTTTTCAAGGGTCTGGACTCTAGATCCAATGTGTTTTTTCCCCCCATTGTTGCCATGGTTGAAGGACAGTCCGCCATTTTATTTAAAGAAAAAAACAAAAAAAAAGGCAACGGCGTAGGACGATGATTACTTCAATCATTAGAACAACGGCCGAACAAACTTACCAACTAATGAATAGCCAGTTTAAGCCAATTTATTCCCGTTTAAGTTCCCGGGTTCAATCTGTGGCGGATGTCTTCGTGCTCCCCGCCCCGCGCCCCTCCTCCAACGATCCCCTGCCTCCCGTCCAACGCCTCATCCTGGAGATGCCCCGTCAATTTCTCATTAAGAATAGTTAATTTTCGCCCCGAACAAGTTGCTCCGAGTTGGTGAACTTTCGCGCATGGTGCGAGGCGCCGGATAAAATTCGCCACCCTCGGCTCAGACTCGGGCTTCGGATAATCCCCTTTCTGGCAGAATTAGGGGATGATTCTCCGACTCTGAATTTGAGACGTTCGAAATCTCGATATCTGGTCGAAATCGGCAGTTGCACCAACATTGGCACCGCGTAAACAGGTTCGATTGAAAGAGCTCTTCATCAAAAGTACGAAAGTGAGCTATATTTGTTGCAAATTTCATTTATTTACTACTAGAGAGAAAAAAATTAAAATTAATGATTATAGGAAAAGTTAGAGGGCAGGGTGTCTACTAAAGCAGGCTGGCCAAAAACCAGTACTTTTACAGTACTTTTCCAGTTCATTCCCAAGAAATTCAGTACCACCTCATAAGAAAAATTCAGTACTTTTTCAGTACCTCCGATTGACGTAATGCGAAAATTTTCAATTTGAATTTCTCGCTCGAATTGTGACATAAATGACAAAAATTCCGGACATTCTCGCGAACTTCCGCACTTTTTCAGTACTTCCGGACCGTCCTTAAAGAATCAGTACTATATCTGGACTTGTAGACACTCTGAAGGACTTACAAAACTCACATATAATCAAGGTTGCCCGATTTTACGATAAAATCAGGATATTTTATATGGGTTTAAATGGAGAAGAGTGCTGATTCGTTAGCATCATATGGCATAGATGCATACAATTTGTGGATATTAGAGCTTAAACAAAGAATTATAGAAAGAAAATATGTTCGCTATTAAACCTTACATTGGGAAATGATTGAGGAGGATTCTGATTCCGTTTTTATAGCTACTGCATCATTGGCGCAGCTTTTTGCTGCTACATACGAAGAGCAGTGCTACATACGATCATAAATCTCAGTTTGGAGCGGCGAAATGACTTGGATTCCGAACCTTCCGAAAACCCCTAATACACGATAGTAGCGTGAAAAACAGATGCAGTTTGATGATGCGACAAATAAATGGGTGCATTTTTCGTGCTAATTTGTTAAAACAATAACGATGTCTGGTCATTTCGTACTGGTCGCGCATTAATTGTTTTAAAATGGCTTCCAGCGACAAATCAAGTTCGTTCTGAATCAAGGATGTATCCATTGCATTTTTAAAAGGTCACGGTGCTTGTTATCGGCGACACCGAAACAAAAGCAGATCTGGTCGATGATTCCCTCTGATAATGCAGATTATGTAAAAGGGAGCGACAGTTGCATCGCAGTTTTGCACAGCTTTGAATAATGAGTGATTTGGCGAATTCTGTGATTCAGTGATAGGTAATTGGTTTGTTCGACGTTCTCTCTCCTACACTGGACCAGGACATTATCTGTGATCGACAATGATGAAAGAACACAATTCCATACGAATGCTGACGGTGATAATATTGACGGTCGTTTGGCGCAATAGTTTTGCTATATATTTACAAATGGACGTAGTTTTATCAAACAGAACTATGTGCAAGGGAGAATCAATCAATTTGTATTTATATTTATCTTTAGTAGTAAGGAAGTGACTTACCTAGAATTCCGAGTCTATAATTGATGGTAACTACCACCACATCCGCATATCCGGCCAAAACTCGGCCGTCATACGGATTCCCTGAGTTCCAATCATACGACTCGCCGTGGATCCAAACGATCACCGGATACTTCGCCTCGTTCGTTCCCGAGCCTGAAACAAAATGACGTCACTATTACGGAAAACCATGAAATGAGATCATTTAAATCAAAACAGTTTCACATTTGTGTAGTATCAAAGGAATTGGATTGGATTTAGAGGAACCGAGTTTACATTTGGAACCAAATAAGTTACGGGTGATTTTAACCTCAACCACTAGTAGCATGACCGTAAAAGAGAGTTAAAAAAATGTGAAATTTACGAGTGAAAACTTTTCAAACTTGATTAAATATCCAAGTTTGGAAATAATTGTTGTGTTTTTTACGTAAAAACGCACACTGATACTTGCACTTTGACAAGATTTTAAGTACTTTATTTTGATAAATTTTAACACAAATTTTAGTTCTTAGGGTTCCGTATTTTGCAGTTATTTTTGTGTGTAGAATCAATATGAATAATTTTCAGAATACTACAAAATTTGGATACCAATTTCCTTTCCTTAAATTTCTTGACCTAAAATTTACATAAACTAAATTTCAATTCAAAACATAAAAAAACCGTCTTTCCTGGCTCGTTCATTTTGACAGTTTTGTTACGGGTTTTCAAAGTCCAAAAATAGTCAATGCTACTAAGGCACCTGCACGTTCTTTCTTGTCAAATATTTTTACTCGAGAAAAGAATTTTGGACATGAAAATATTTGTTAAACTCGATTCCCAACATTTAGTCTCTGAGGAGAGTTAATATTCCATACCTATTTCTCTCGTTCAACCTTTTACTTACAGCTCAATAAACTTCCGATTAATATTTCATTCCGAGTTCAATATGACAACGTTTTATAACGGAGAGCTTGAGGAGCCAGAGATTAAATTCCTTGTCAGCTATCACCACAAAAGCCCTCGCTGAGGGCTGAGAAACTCCCTGCAAATCTTTGTTCATCCCGCAGTCCCTGTTCGGTGCAAATTCTCCTGTTTTCCTGCCGCTCATTGAATCACAACCTGACATTTTGATTAGGCTGACCCGCGCCTCCTGTCCATCCCTTTCTATTACCACTCAGGGGATGAACCTGATTTTGGTTGTTTTCAGGGATAGTTGTGCCCCAACACACTGTGCTGTACAATGTGCAACGCACTGTGTTGTGTGTGTCCTTTGACACAGGTTTCCTTGGATTGCTTATAGCTACAATAATTTCGAAAAAATGTCACTAAGGGGCCGTTCATTAAATATTTAACGTTCTATATGGAAGAGGGGGTATAGGGCGCACTATGCTTATATCGACAAAAAAGATTGGTAGAATTTACCATTCCTTCACGCTGTATTTTACACAGCGTGAATTCAAAGTCGATTCTGCCAGAGGAATGGTTACCTAGTACCGGTATGTAGTAAAGTTTACTTTTCTTCTGGCAGAATTGACTCTGAATTGACGCTGTGTGAAATACAGTGTGAAGGAATCGTATATTCAACCAATCTTTGTGCACAGGAAGAAAGGGATGTTCAGGACTGCGCTGAGTAACGCTAAGCGGGAACGTAGCGAAAATTCTAAGATAAAACAAAACGACGCGAGTCGGAGATTTTTCATTCCCGATAATTCGATTGCATTTTGCAAAAAGGAACCAGATGATAAAATTGTGCAACTTCATCCTCTTCAGTAAAATTACTGGAATCATGGAAAAATATGAAATTTACATGGTAATTCTTGTCTTAAATTTACAGTTATTAGCGAGTCAACTAGAAACTGTTAATGGATAATCCGGTCTTTCTTCCAAGACAAAAGAAGTTGCAAAATCTTAGCAACATTGCAATGCTCCTGGTTTATTTTCGCAAAATGCAATCCAATTCATCAACAAATGTTAATTGGACGTATTTCTGTCAAACGGAACTATGTGCATTATGACGTGAGCCCTGTTATTCATACATTCTTATGGGTCTTAGGGCTCATGTCTTAATGCACATAGTTCCGTTTGGTAGAAATACGTCCAATTTGAAGGATTGAGCCGAACGTCACGTTTCTATTGAGAAGTGTGTGTGTTACGGGTGCGTTAAGAGGAGGAGGGGTTATTAAAAACTCAAATTTGAACAGCCCCAAAGAGGGCGCGTTACACAAATGTTGTATGAAGGTGAAAACTACTTTTTTAAAACATGCCCAACATTACTAACGGCTTAAAATTATCAAAAACTTGAAATGTACAATTTGGAAATATGCCATCTCATTTTTACAAGAACGTCTCGCTGGACCGACTTCATTTAACACCTTATATTCGGAGTTTCTAAGTTCTACAAGAGAGACAAATTTAAAGCCTAGCATCACTTTTTTGTAGGGAAAAATGAATTATTGGTGACGCATTCATATTTAAAATTTTCGATTATTTTCACTCAAAGTTCGCGGAGCGAGTTTAACACAATAAAACGGATGTAAAACTTTCATATATATTATGCTCAAAATGACAACGTCCCTGGAAGGGATTCCCCTCAGTTTGGAATTTTGGATCCTAATGCGCTTTTCCACCCGGACCCTTTGTTTGTCAGGGTAAATATTGAAGGATGCTGCCTGGGAACCTTACAATTGACAACCAATAGGCACTTCTGGGGGTAAAGGGTGGAGTTCGGTAAAATGAACTCAGGGCAGTACACAGACTGCCTACGAGCAGGATCGAAATTTTTTGTGTGTAAACTGAAAGTTAACTGCTTTGTTTTTTGAAAGTTGCATTAAAATGACGCTTTTTTAATGCTACTTTTGTAAACTGGCAGCTACTTTATCGAGAAGTTGATTTCATTAATTTACCTGATTGTGCTTGCAAACCATGGATTTATAATAACCGAGATTCCGATGTAGAGTGTCTTTCATTGGTCTGTGTTGATTTTGAGCGACAAATGGACTACATTTTGCAATTACGAACTATAATTTCTGGCTCAGTTTAGAGACAACGTATGCACTATCAGTTTCCTTATGCACAAACGTGTTTTTACAGATAAACCAGAAATTATAGTTCCGAATTGCAAAATGTAGTCCAAATATTCGTTAGTGCCAATAACGACTTGGCTCTAAAACTTAAGGTTAACCTGCCACTGCAGACTATATGAATCGACACAGCCACCGAAACAAATCTGGGAGTGCATTATTCATGCGTTAACATAATGGTCTTTTATAAAGGGCATTCGCTCAGAAATATTCTAACCGCTTACAGGAAAAAAGGCTACATTTTTTCATAAAGAGGAAGCATGGAAAAATTATTACCGGAAGACACGGGATTGACATATTAACACCACCGCGCAACGCTTACAAGAGGTTTAATGAACATTTTGGCACAGGACACGCCAACAAATGACGGATTTAACTGAAGTTTTGAAGTTTGTAAAATATATCGTTTTGTGAAAAAGTCGTAAAAATTTATATCTGCCATGCTCAGAGCTAGACGTTGCCGAATACGGTGCAATTTTTTGAACTTAATTTGTTCAAAAGAAACTCGACCGCTCTTAACTTATTATTTTGGTACGTACAAAGGGGAATTGTTCCCTGGTAAAAATTTGCGATAGGAGCTGCGTTTCAAAATACCATAGGAGTTCTTATAGCCGACTGAAGAAGGCAATTGTAAATCATATAGCTGGCTGCAGAAAGCGGAGCAAATCATATAGCCGGGCTATACGAAGCTATAAAAAAGTATACAGTCGGGCTATAGTTCAGTGGCGTGGCGTGCTTTGCGATATATCGATTGTTATGCCATTTAAACCTATGGAAAAGGATTATCGATTGTTATGCCATTTAAACCTATGGAAAAGGATCGATAGACAGGGTGTTCGTAGCGAACGCCTTAATAATCGATTCTTTACCATAGGTTTAAATGGCATAGCAATCGATAGATCGCAATTCACGCCACGCTACTGCTATAGTTCCTATCGCTGGGCTTTACACTATATCGCCATTGGATATAAAAAGCTATGAGAAATTGTGTAGAAATTCGTGTGCTTTGGAAATCATTAAGTTAGATACGGAACTACCTCAATATTTCAACATATTTGTTTTCATCAATTAAAATGAGAAATATCCACACAGAGTGTGCAAACATTTCAAAATCATGAGTTGAAAAACGCTGACTCCGCAAGATTCAATATTAGAGCCTAACAAAAAGCGGAGCGGCGACGTACTGGCGCCTACAAACCTAACAGGGATACTTCACGCATTGCGCAATGCGTGAAGTATCCCTGTTAGGTTTGTAGGCGCCAATGCGCGTTTCGCGCTCTCTGCCCACCCGCCGCGCCGCAGCGTGCCACGGCGTCTGAAGCAACTATTTCACACCAGAGGTATTGCACAGTGTCATAAGAAATTGAAGGCGCTCCGACATATTCAGAATGACAAGCAACCTTCAAAAGTACGGAACATTCCTCGCAAAATAAATCAAGATACTACGGCACAAAAAGAGAGCAGTGGTCCAAAAACTAACTAAGTCCTAGTATCCGTATTTAGTAACGTTCAGCATTAACTTTATCGTCTGGCTGTTGCTTAGTCGCCATCGGTTATAAAAGGCTAAAAGCGATTGTACAGCGGGCTACAGAAGCTATTGGAAATCTTACAGCCGGCTTTAGGTCTATGGTATTTTGGAATACAGATTCTACTGCCAATTTTTACCAGGGTTGTTGGATCCTTAAATTCCGATAATCGACCGCACTTCATAAAAATTGCTCTCTTGAAGAATTCGCCGTGAAATGTTCGGAGGAATATTAAATTATTTTCTACATATTATTATTCTCTGATAAGAATTTTAAGTCACGTGCATAAAATACATTTGTGCCGTTTGAATTATGGACAAACGAGTCATTATTAACCAGATAGAACGAAATAAAAGATTGTTGGAATAACAATCGTTTTTAACCATAAATGTACTTGACCGCAGGTTTTACGGGTCAGAAACATGAATATGAAAGTAAGTTAAAAATATAAATAAAATTGCGGCAATCTGACAATGTTGAGAAAATCGTGCCAAGAGGGAAGGAACTTCGAAAGCATGACGACTATTTTTTTGGTAACAAAAGAATTCCAGTACCTCAGTTCCACCGCCCCATTCACTGCCCTCGATTTTTTTGTTTTCGTCAGAGCGCGGTATTGTTTCTGCAGCCAGAGCTGCGTTTGAACCCGCCTGAAAAAGATAAGCAACCTTAAGCAGAAGCTCTGCCGGTTGCCAAACTGAGCAACGAAGGCACTCAGCACAATGGATTTCAGCCGGAAATTTCAGGATTTCCGGTTGAAACTTCCCAACGCTACGTGTGGCTATTCTCTCGGCTTCTTTAAAGTCAGGCACGGCTTTTTGAGAAGTTTCACTCTTTTTCCGCTGACTCCAATTTTTTATCTTCTCGTCTTGTTTTTGTACTTTGAGCTTAATTAAGTACCACTGAACTTTCAAGCGCAAGCATGGACCTCATTCGTTGCTTTGCCTTCATCGCGAAAGAGGACGGAAAAAAGCAACCTGATGGATTCTTGGAAGTCAGCAGATGCGAGCTACCAGTGGAAAACAAATGACCGCGTGTCACAAGCACGCCATTGCAAAAGTCACAGGCTAGGATTACTGTCTGAATATTTTCCAAGCATCAAGTCGTGTCCGTGGAAACTAGAAACTGATGCAACACGAATGTGATGATTCAGGTAAGTTTATCGTTTTCAGGAGAAGAAAATAACGAAGAACTGGATAATGATTTCGAAGATCGGCTGAGCTCATGACGTAAGATCTCTCATTACCCTTTATTGTTGCTGACACTTAGATATTAACAATTTTTAGGGAACATCACAAAAAAGTAAGCTACCAGTCTAAAAACCGCAAATAACGAGTTACGACATTCATCTACTGTCCGCTGGGTTTAGTTTCGAATTCAGAAGCCGTGATTCCGGCCTCTGAGCTCGGAAATCAGGCATTGCTCAAAAGTATGGCTTTCAGAGATAACCTAGAGCATTTTTCAGTGCATATTACAACGAGAATATATTTCACTTACAATTTAAAGACTCTGGATGGTCTATATAATCTTTCATTGACTTTTCAAGATAACAAATGTATGTTACTCGTACTATAACTGAGAAGACCACAGTTTCCATCGCTATAAAAATACGTTGATCACTCTGCAAATTTCCATTTTATATAATGAAAAAAAATCGTCATTTTTTGGATGGATTTTTTACTTCTTATTTCGCGATGCTCTGTTACTATTGTGCGTTCCGAAAAATTCCTAGTTCCAATATTCGACGCTTTTTCTTTGAAGAAAATAAAAATGGTGATTTTAAAACGATGTAATTGAGTTCCATGTTTCCAGAAATCGGTCATCGAATTTAGTTTCTTATGCTACCAAAATAGAGGCTGCAAGAGCTTTTTACAAAAAAATTATTTTTCTGCATGAAAAAAGCGATTAGAACATCCAAGCATTGTTGAAAAAGTATGTTTGATGCTGTTTTTGGAGACAATACGATTCAATTTAGGAATTGAGACACAAAAGTGGAGAGTTATTCGATCTTACTAGGGTACTGGACATGATGTATGCCCATTTCGAAGCCAACCCTTTTTCGTTTCAGCACCCCTCAGCGATGACCCGAGCCAAATCTGTTTCTAAGAGAGCTTTTTGTCACCAAATTTTTTCAAGACCCACACGCCATTAAACGACCAGCGTCAGGAGTGTAGGAGGGCCGGGTCTCGCCAAAACTGCGGTGCTATGAAGAAACGCCGTATGAACATTCAAACGCTGCCAAAATTTGCTAGAAAAATAGACTTACTTCGGAGAGAAGTTTTGGATATTTTCCTTGGAAATTTCAGATTGAAATAGAAACAAAACTATCTACAAAATAGACAGAAAACAGGAAACGGATTTTTTGGATTTCGAAATTTCCTGACTTGTCGCTGGCTTTTCAGGGATTTTGAAAATGCGAAATTCCCTGACTTTTTCGCGAGATGTTAATTTTTTTTTGGGGGGGGGGGGTTAAGGCACGATTTATGATACAAATTATCTTCCCACACGATTTTATAGGCCAAGCTTCTAAAATGGAAAAATTCAATGATTTTAAGGAAAAAAACAAGGTTCCGTTGGAACATTTCCTTACTTTTTTCGGGCTGTACACTGTTGAGAACATTTCCTGACGTTGCAAAAACTTGTCTCCCAGGAAAAGCATATACGATTCTGCAAGAAATTCATACCACAACACCCGGAAAAAATTAAATGCTGATTTAGCATTTAAATTGTTAAAAAAAAGCCCGTCAGGTTTCAAATGCTGATTTTACAATACAAAAATGCTGAGAGAACATTTTAATTTGTTCGTTTTACAGTGGGCGTAGTTAAGTAAGCATTTCTTCAAATGTAAAATCAGCATTTGAAACTTGTCGGACATGTTTTTAACAATATGAATGCCAAATCAACATTTCCATTTTTTCCGTGCAAGGGAAATTGGCAACCTTTGTTGGCATATACGGCGTTCTTTCTTAGCACGGCGGAATATCGCGGGCAGTCAAAACGTGAAGGGTCCCGAAGGTCGAATTACCTTCCAGCGAAGAGGCTGGCGTGAGTTTGTTATCAAATATCAGACCGCCAGCGGATTCTAGGATAAACAGGAGGGGGGAAGGGGTGGGCTGAGGGAGCTTTCTCAAACTTGGCCCATCAAACGCCGGTGCCATTAAATTGCCTCAATTTAAATCTTGAGATTTATGAAGCGCGTCTTCTTCTCGCGATCCAGGTTGCCGTGATATCGGAAATCCGCAATGTTTGCCGTACACAATGAGCGGGCTGTGATTCCAGGAATTCCTGGATGAATCTTTCGGAAGTTACTAAATTATGTTTTCAAAAATATCCTCATATATTGCATTTTTGAATGTAAAGTGATTGAAACACATGAATTTCCGATTTGTAAGTTTTTTTTTTTTTTTTTTTTTTTTTTTTTTTTTTTTTTTTAAGTAGAATTTTTTGAGTGATTTTTAGGTAGAATTGAAGTAATCCGCGCACCCTCAAAATTTTCGAAGACATGTTTGGTTGGGTCAAAATCAGCCAAGCCGTTGATACAGTATATTAATTATTTTTTAAAGTCATTTTGTTGAGTTTATCAGGTCAAAATGTTATGCCGCAATCACACGCTGAATGTGGCTTGAATGTGGAAGTCATCGGACCGATGCCTGAATTTTGCGCGTCAGCAACGATTCTCAGCAACCGCGCGACCCGCGCTATTTCAAAGAGCCTGTGGATTCTATCCGGAACGCTTTAGTCCTGAAAATAGACACCTCGCCTGTCTTGATATGTACGTTTCTTTTGGCACTGGGCCTCGAAAATGTCCAGGTAAAAATCCTTTAATCCTCATTCCATTTAGCTAGGGTCCGTATTTTACATTATAAACCATCGATATGAATGCAAACCTCTTAAAAATACATTAGACTGCTGGAATTGGCATTAAGTTGAAAAACGCTGACTCCGCGAGGTAAACTAATCGCGCCAAACACAGTGCGGCGCGGAACGCATATTAGCGCCTACAAGACTGAAGGAATACTTCACGCACTGCGCATATATCACTGCGCGCGCTTGGCGCATATTAGCGCCTACAAGACTGCGTGAATACTTTAAGTATTGCGCGTTCACTACGGCATGAAATGGATGAAAGTCGAAAGCCGAAAAGTCCAATCGTGGTATCGGCCGCCCTCTGCAAGTACCTATACTATGCTAACAGCTTGGTCATGATATCGTGCACAGTTATCTCTATAACATGCATGATCTCTCGGACACGTTATTTCTGATACGATCTATCCTCGAGATACGAGCCGATCTTGGCCAGAAATCCATTCCTGTCGCCATGAGCAATGATTGGGTTCGCTCTTTAAATTGCCGCACTTCACCGTCATAAGTCATTATAATTTTAACAATCGGGTTTTAAATCCTCTTTTTCTTGTCTTCAGAGATTCTTCGATACCAAAGAATCCCATTTAATATAGGTATTCAATTTCAAAGTATTCGCGTTTTAAAATATTTGAAATAGAGAGTGGTCATTTGAGCCAATTCTGAGAACAAACCTCGAACGAACAGACGGTTCATTCTCTCAAGACTTCATTACTGGACTGATTGCTCTTTCGGGTAACAACATGAGAGGTCTGCGCCGTTGTGGATTTACGGTTAGACGCAGCCAGCCGTAAATCCAAAGCCAAATTGGCGGACAGCTCAAGTTAGGAGAATTATTTACGAGATTATCAATCCGAACTCGCGGTCGACCGCAGCAAACAAAATTTTGGCCCCGACTCACCACCAACGACCGCAGACCGACTCGATGAAGTTCGACAACAGCGCGGCTACCTTTCCTGGCCCAGACCGCCGCAATCCAAGTCTTGAGCCTTTCTTACCCCAGTTTACAGACTTCTTGCCACCCCCGCCCCCCGCCCCCCTTGGCCCCGTCCTGTCAACCCCGAAACATGAATCTCACCCTCTCGGCCGGGACGGACACGGGATCGTTTATCTCACGTCGATTTTCGGCCCCGAAATTTGACCTCGCGACGGAAAATGCCCACGGAATTTGTCTTCTTAATCTTCCGCCCCCGCCTGAAATAATTGCCGGGCCTCAGTGGCGAGGCGTGAATGATCGATTATCGATGTTCCCCCATTTGAAGCAGTGGTGAAGAATCGATTATTAAACTGTTTAATGCGAACACCCTGTCTAGCGATTCTTCGCCTTATACATGTTTAAATGACGGATCGATTGATACATCGCAAAGCACGCCACGCCACTGCCGGGTCTTAGCGCTGCGTTTAACTTCCGATTTCTAAGTGAAACATTGCGGCACGGAGTGGAATTTAAGTTAATCAAGTGCGAAGCTCGTCGTTATTTAGATGGTGTTAATCGATAAATTCAACCGTTCATGTGAAAAAGGGCAACGGAAGCGAATTTTTCGGGGGAAAGAAGAGGGAGGAAGAAAATAAGAAAAGAATAGAGAAGAAGTACAGGATGTACGAGACATACATACGAGTCGCTGTTATAGCGCTCTTTGGCGCTTTGCGACACCTAATCGCCACAAAGCTCGGTCTTCCCACAGGTTATCAGGGAGTTGACACTCCCTCATCTCACTTAACACCCCCTTTCGCCAACCTCTCACTGGACGTCCCCTACGCCTCCTCCCAGGAGGAACCCAATCAAGCATCTTTTTTGGCAGCCTCTCTTCCGTCATCCTATTGACATGACCATACCAAACAAGTTGTTTGGTCATGACGTCGAACACGATGTCATTTTCGACTTCCATTATCTGACGCACTCTATCATTACGGACCCGATCTCTCCTAGAAATTCCTGCCGACCTTCTCCAGAAATCCATCTCCGTTGCTCTTAGCATATCCTGTGTCCGTTTCTTCAGCTGCCAAACTTCACATCCGTATGTTAATATACTTTTTACTACAGCGTTGTATATCCTCCTCTTGTTATCTTTGGAAATCCGCTGATCCCAGAGGATTCCATTTAACATCGCTATAGCCTTCCTTGCTAAGGTGTTCCTTTCCCTGATAGCTTGATCCGTCCTTCCATCCTGGGTCAACCGCACTCCCAAGTACTTGAAGTGCTCGCAGCATTTGATCTGCTGCCCATCCTCCAACTCAATGCTTTGCTGATCACCACCAAAAGTCATTTTCTCAGATTTGGATATGCTGACTTCCAAACCCCACTTCCGATATTCTTCTACTAACTTGCGCATCATGTACTCCGCGTCTTCTTGATCTTGAGCAACCACCACCTGGTCATCAGCAAAGCACAGAGTACGATACAAAGATTGAAAAAAGGAAGAGGGGAATGAGGTAAAAGAAAGATATAAAGGGAAGGAAGAAGAGGAAGAAGGAAAGAGATAATAATATTGAGAAAGAGAGGGAAGAAAAGGAAGGGACAAGATGAGAAATGAGAAGAATAGAAAGAAAAAGAACATCATTGGCCAAAATGCGAAATCACGGATCTCCAGCGGGGTGTTTCAAAATCTCTGGTCCTATTTTATTTTTTCGAAGTGAAACAACACAACTTGATACCTACAAATTTCTACAGAATATTCTGTCATACTACAGAGGAAAATTTTAGAAGTTTCCAGGAAATTCGCTGACTTTAGTTTT